GAAAGGCTTTGGCACTGAACAGCTTATTCGTGTCAGGAATGGCAGAGGCATAACCCCCACTTGAGGCACTAAAAACTACACAAACCCATACAATAAAAAGACCATTTATAAATATGCTCATACTCGAGTAACTATTAACATTATAAATTATAAAAGTATTCCACAAAGACCAAAGTGTAGGGAAAGTGAATTGAATATTCAGTATTTAGTTTGTAATGAGGTTATTTGGCAAAACAAACTCAGATAACCTTTGTTGTTACATAAAGTATAATGATTTGGCAAAATAGTCAAATTTGTCGATCAATATGCAAATGTCAATTAATTGCAAACAAGAGATTAAACGTCATTCAAAAGGTTTTTTAAATAGTCAGAATAATTTAACCTATTGGGGTGTGTGTATCTCAATCTGGTACAAAATATCCGCTTAAAAGTTTTAAATATTTTTGAAATTTTTACATGCAATAATAAAGTCATGTGTTTTAAAATTTCGAATGTTGAATAATTTTAATTTCTGATAGTCCTAAGTAGATCATAGACCATTCTATACTTCTAAACCTGCTGTAAAAATTTACTTTCTAAAAAATAAATAAGCCTGTTGGGACTTTTTTCTAAATAAACTCAAGGGAAAAACTGTTTGAAATTGTTGCACTCCAAAATATAGTAAGCTGATGGTTATTTACTGCTTGGTTTAGATACAGCTCACTAAGCTGTAAAAACATTTTTTTTTGAAAATACTAATTATTACACGTAAAGGCTTAACAATTAAAAACTAAGAAAAAAATGTTCCGAACTTGCTTCTTCCATTTAATAACGTTTTTCTTGTAATGGAATGAACAATTTTTTCTAAACACACTGTTATGAAATAGACGTCTGATTAGATTAAATACATTTGTAACCCGTTCCAAAATAAAAAGAGGCCAAGTTGAATTTAGCCCAGTCACATTTAGCGAACTCTAATAAGTATTCATGACTCAAACAAAACCTTATATTTAGGCTTTTGTAAGTCGAATTTTAATGTGATTTTTTTATGGTAGTAATCTTAAAAGACGGACAATAGTTGATAAGTCAATCAACCGACAACACTCTGAGGTGGAATAAAGTATCAAAGTATAACTTACGTTGTAAACTATAGTTGAGTTATAAATTATTTGAACCACATTGTACAATCGCATCACAGTCTTTAGCTTGTATGGGCTTCTCTTTTCCATGTACATTGGCCCTAACTTAAATACAAATAAAAAATAGGAAATGAGAGTGATGATAAGAACAGGAGTGCTGAACAGAATCCATGTTTCCATTAACCGATCTGAAAAATCAATTAAATCATAATTAATAAGCTACTGTTAACTGTTTTGTAAACTACACATACTCATTAGTGTGTAAACAAATAGTATTTCTGAAAACGTTTTAATTAACTGTTAAAAATATTTGTTTGAAGATAATTTCAGTAAAGGCTTTTGTTATGTTAGTAATTAACGACAGTAATTGGCATTCAAATTGATATTTAAAAATAAAAAAAATAATTAATGCCACAAAACATTGCACAGAATATTGTTTGGGTATGTTACTTACAGAACCATGAGTTTATTGAAGTCATTGAATTCAAATAGTAACTAATAAAATAGTAAATAGGCCAATAACATATATAATAAATATACCAGTTTTTTACGGAAATACCTCTAAGTACACTTTCTTCACCCTTAACCACATTAAATATTCGTTCTATGAGAAGTTGTTTAATAAAAAAAGTAATATTTAAAATTGATTTCACATTTAAATATTAATAACCTCTAATGCTTCATAGCCGAAGGAAAATTTGAGAACTGACTTTTAAAATACTATGTTTGAGTTTTACTTTAGCTCAACTACTTTATAAGGTATTTTAATTTTTATCAGGTAAAAAATATCCTTTCATTATTGGGAAGTTTGAAATGGTTGTGTGTATAGAACATGTTTAACATATAAAACATTAGTAACTATTTTCTCATAAGCTTTTAATGAAATTAGTTGTAACTACACATATTGTACTGCAAAATACCCAAATAAAGTCAAAAACTAAATTTCAAGTAAATCGTAAACAACATTTAAACAATTCTTACATAATTATTTAATATCCCTAATATTTGGTGGTCATTTGAGTATGTCAAAGAAAGGGTACCATCTCTTAAACGCCATCTTACCCAAATAAAAACACAGTATTAATAGGTATGCATAAAATGTAGTATTAAAATATACGATATACTAATTTACTGTACTCACCAGGATCAATCAAATTTGAATAAAATTCGTCTGTAAGATTAACATTTTGAATCATGTATTCCACTTCTACTGTCATTTTGCTTTAAACGATAAACGTTACTGTAACGCTAATCAATTAGACGTATTAAAGAGGCAACATCACTTTTGAACCATACTATTATAACACACTAATAACCATGTATTTCAATGATATCTATGAATCCACCACAGTTCACAAGGTTTTCAAAATCACGTTACACAAACATTTTCTTCAATTAGAGTTAATGTTTATTTTGCTTCACGAACCTAATTACATGATTAGTTAGTTTCAAATAACAATTAACGCAATTCGATAGAACGGTTGAAGTGGAAACGAAGAGTAAAACAATGTGTTCGAGTTAAGGTCAAACGTAAGCAAGGCTATTGAATTGTATGATAATGCAAAAGACCTCGGAAACTAATTTGAGAGCTTTGAAACTCTTCTTAACGAGCACAGCAACTAACAACTGATACTGTACCCACCACTTGGTGGAAACTTAACAATAACAACTTAACAAAATTTGCCTTTTTAAAACTTTCTTGGAAAATTTACCCATCAGCAAGTGGTTTTATTTCTAGTGATTTTTGTAACTATTTCCGTTTGAAAATAGCCAGGTTTTCAAATATTTTATTTACCATCCCTTATACTTTATATAAGATTAACATTTTATTGGGTAGTATTGCCATATTCCCTTGTGATCAAACACAAATCCATATCCCTAGGATAAACATACTTCCTTATGATCGAAGAAACATCCATATCCCTAGGATAAATATACTCCCTTGTGATCAAAGAAACATCCATATCCCTAGGATAAACATACTCCCTTGTGATCAAAGAAACATCCATATCCCTAAGATAAACATACTCCCTTGTGATCGAAGAAACATCCATATCCCTAAGATAAACATACTCCCTTGTGATCGAAGAAACATCCATATCCCTAGGATAAATATACTCCCCTATGATCAAAGAAACATCCATATCCCTAGGATAAACATACTCCCTTGTGATCAAACATCCATATCCCTTGGATAAAACATACTCCCTTGTGATCAAACAAACATCCATATCCCTTGGTTAAAAAAACATACACTCCTTGGATAAAAAAAAACATACCCCCTTGTGATCAAACAAACAACCCCATTTCCCCCCCCCCTTTTTTTTGTTCCCTCGTGCTGGTTAGTATATTGTATTACTGATAGGTATTTAATTCCTTAATGTTAATATTGCAACAACACATTTAAATAAAAGAGCAACAAATTTACGTGAATTGAAAAAAAATATTTCCTCTAATCTATATGTTAACATGTAACTTATACTATTATTCATAAGATAAATTAATACAAATGAGTTTATATAAGTAGTAATTATTTCAAAACAAGTTAAATATTAGAAATACAACACTTGTTTTCATATAATGTATAAAGTCGAAGGGAAATATAAAATAATACAATTGTTTGCACGTGTACAAAATATTTATTTTACACATTCAAAAAACAAAAATTAAAATGCACTATTATATACAATCGTGTTACATAATAATTTGATTTGGAGCAGTATTACTTTATTCGTCAACTGTGCATTTTGAATTGTTGCATTGCGAGTAAACTAAGGTTATACCATATTTTTTATGAATACTTTTACTCAACAGTTAGAAACACTCTCATCGTCACGTCATTTAATCCACAATGACACGGCGGTCGACAAAGCCAATAACGCTCGGGGCTCGTGAGCGGCTGGCAAAGGGCGGCGGAATGTCATGGTGATATTTAAAACACTCGGGTCGTAATATAAATGTATTTTATACCTATAACTTTGTACGTAACTTTATACCCATTGCCAATTTTAAGTTTTTCGCAAGGGGATGGTTGTAGACTATTTCATTTTATAATTATCAAAGATTAATCAGTATGCCGGCGAGACATTTGCCACGTTAAAAAAACTTTGAGTGAAATATACATGGTGTCCCACGAAGAGATTTAAACGTTTGATGTTATATTTCTTGTCCATTTATAGACCGAATATTTTGAAACTTTACACAATTTATGAAGTAGATTTAAAAAATATTCTGGGAAAATTTCAGTTCCATAACAATGTTGTGGAATAAAAATGGTAGCATATTTAAAATGTTACCAATTTGCTTCCTATAAGAATGCTGTCAGTTGTAATGGTGTGCTGTACTACGACATTTCAGACATTAAAATGACTGGAAATAGGCATTCACAAGTTTTAAATGAACTTGTCTTGACTCATTTTACGGTTCCAGAAATGTATCAAGCAATCTTCAAAAAAGATGGTGCAAATCATGTCAAGCAATTACTAAATGACAACCTTCATTGCCATTGGATTGATCGTGGAAGCTTTTTTTTTTTGTAATTAGACATCTCGATCCCCAAATTAAACTGTGTGACTTTTTCATGGGTTTACTTGAAGGAACAAGCTAATACCTATAGATTCAATAATGATGAGGAACTAAAACAACCAATTGAAAGGGAACTATTCTAGATACAGCAGAATTTCTTTGTAAGAGCTTAATATGATTCATCAGTTAAGCGCTGTTATTAGTGTGTCACTGTGGAAGGATGGTTGAATAATTTTCGACTCTACTTTTAGCTTTTGCTTTAATCTAGAGTTTCCTGATTAAAAGCATTATTTCCCTAGAATGTGAATAAAAACATTTTACAAAACCAAAAACAGAATGTTTAATGTTTTTAAAGTATCATTTTTTAATATGCCAAAAATGTTCTTTCTTCAAGGGTTAGGGAGCTGAAATTTTCACAGAAAACTAAGTTGTGAAAAGTTTCAAAATATTCGGTACATAAATGGGCAAGTAATACCAAATCAAACGTCTGAACCTCTTCGTGGGACACCCTGTATAGCTTCAAATATATAGTTTAGTCCTCCTAGATACTTGTGGTTCAGGTTTTGAAATGAAAAATAACAGTTTTAACTGCTCTAAACCCATGAAGCAACATAACGTTGTGCCGATTTTAGTAATAGAATATTATTAGTGTTTCATCTAGTGGTATTACATTGATGTGGGTTTTTAATGTTATTTACAATAAGATCGATAAATAGCCCCTATTTGTAAGCCATAGAGTTCATACTTTTTAATCTCAAGATAATTGTAGCAAAAATGCAGACATTACGTATTTAAATGAGTTTTCGTGGATTGACATAATGTATTTTACAGAACCCACATTTGATGATCAAACAAAATACCCGTTTTCTTTTAAATCAGATTAAAAGTAATAACATGTATTTAGTATAAAAAGTAAAAAAGTAAACTAAGCTATATTTAATAAGACCTAAACTATTTGCCTAATTTTACATGTTTACTACTATTTTCAACACTTTTTGTGACTTTTGAACTTTTTCTCGATGTTTTCTTATATGATTTGAAATAAAAGTTGAGGAACAATACGGTGAATATGACGCCCTGTAGAGCGGCGTACACATTGTAGGCGGTCTGAAGTGGTGGTGTAGAACACATGGCCAACAGGGATACGAAGAACACCATCAGCACGAAGAACTGGAACTGTCACCGACACAGCGATTACAATCTAGACTACTTAATGTAAAAAAAAATATTCGTTATTACAATCCAAAGTTTTTATGGACATCTCTATAAAATTCTAATCGTAAACATGGGAAACAATAGACTTGAGTTATGAGCTAAAGAGTTTTTTAAAACTTCACAATTAAGGATTTTGCGCTAGTTTTCTGGAATGTTTTTGGAGATTCAAAAGGACGGGCTTGTGTACTAAAAAAAAAGAGTGTCTATAATCGTAGTTAGTGTAAGATTTTAGTATCCCGTTCATAATATGTTTGACAAAAGCCATATCCTTTGCAATACGTTATATATTGTTTGGTAAAACTAACTTCCTTCAGCACACAGCAGTTCATAAAAAACCTAAGCTTATAATAATCCAAATGGTCCATTGCATTAAAACAATCCTGCATTGAAACGTGCTGTCTTAATATTACATTTAAGAGTATGACTAACAAATAGATTACAATGGCTAGGTTTTCGAAATGTTACAAGTCCTGAGAGGCAACTAAAATTTAAAAGTTAAATGGCCAAATCAACTGTCATAATAAACAGTTAAACATGTATTTTTCTACAAGCCCTAATCAAAATAATAAAACCCAAACAAATAGGTTTGCAATGTTTGTTTGCGCGAAACACGGGCAGAACAACAAGTGTAAATAATACAAATTAGCATAAACCAAAACCTTAGTATGGGAAACCTTTATAGTATAGGGTTGGTTGGAAAAAGCTTTAAATCAAGTTTCCTGAGATTCTAATGACAGTATTTTCATGAAATCCTGTGATTAAAATTGTTTAGACATGCATTAGGTAGTCTAGATCACATTATATAGATAAAAGGGTTGTTTTTTAACTAATATATTTAAATAGTCTTTCCGTTTACTAAACATAGATAGTTTCGTACACGTACACTAAACTAATATTTTGAATGTCAAATGCAGTAATTATACAAAAATGCATAAACATAACGGCTGGACACTTGCAAAAACTTCGATTCCAACCAACTGAGATTTCAACTATAGTATTTTGATTAAAGATAGATATTTGTAATTAACTGTTAGCGTCCATGTATAAGGTAGATACATACGAGTTGTAGCCAGGTGATGTATCGTTTCCACCAGAGATATCGCTGAACGCCGGGCCCCAGAGCTGATAAGAAGTAATAACTGTACATGATAATGTGCACAACTGAGTTGACCAGCCCGATCATGATGCCTTGCTCTCCTGTAACAGTCGACATTGCAATGCATTCACTCTAGGCTATATACTCCCAAGTGAAAAGTATTATTTTAGATCCATAAGGATTCACTTATAAATATTGAGTTATACTCAACTGTTAGACAAAACTTACCCAACTGTTAATCAAATAAAAACTTGGACATTTCTTTTATTTTTATTTGATATTACACTAAACTTGACTACGTAAAAGTATACGTGTAGTATACGTTATTCGTGGATTGGTGTCATATAATCGAAAACACTAATAAAACTCTATATTTAGTTAATTGTATCGGAAATTATATCGGGGACTCACCTCTGACATATTTTAGATACAACCACACGATAACTACCATGTGCGTGTGATGGTACAAGTGTAGAAATGATATGTGTGATTGCTTCTTCCTCAACACAAAAAACATCTAGAAAATAAAGAAACTATAAAAACCTGTTTTCTTTATGTTTAAGGCCTCGTTTGTCAAACCAGATACAAATTTATACTTCTATGATAAATAGGAGCTGTTTAAAATACATTCCGCTAGCAGTCTTGTGAGACACCCAGTCGGTAATAACCACTCACGCAACATGTTTTAAGGTCAGTGATTTATTAAACAGCATTTTAAACACATAAATATACCTATAAATCAAGCCTTAATGATTTGTCTTATACGCTATGAATGTAATTGCCTATTTTTAAAAGTTTGAGACTTCTTTCCATTTTCTAGACCTCGCTATTTTACCTAAAAAGTAATTTATTTTTGTAAAAAATACAACCGACTTCAAAACACTCTAAAAAGAATGAAATAATTTTAATAAAGTAAACTTTTGTATTAGGCAAGCTCACGTATTTTAAGTCGGCGCGGCTCTATGATGATTTTTGATACAAAATTGAAAGAGGGTGTCCATATTGCAGGTGACTATATATAACTAAAGGTGTTAATCTGCATGTATTTTTCATAGTTATGCGTTAAGTGTTATTTTATTACCGTAATCAGAGATCGGCATTATAGTGGTATTAACGAGTATCTTTAAAAAGATTATAACGCATTTAAATGTTTCTAACTTGGAAAAGTAACGTTTTAATACTAAACTAGCTTCTTTTCCCTATCATAATATCAACCTAAATTATTTACCTATTCATATAGAACATTTGTGTGTGTTATTTTCATAATGCATTTATTCTGAATTAAACATAAAATACAAGAAAATCCTTCCTATATATTAAAACGAAACAGGGGTTTTTTTTTTATTTCACGATTCTGAATCAACCACTTGACGGATTTTCATGATTTTTGTGTTGAAAGAAAGATAATTTTGAGAACTAGGGATTGTCGAAGCCATAATTTTAGTTTAGGGTTTCAGTTTTTAGAAATTCAGTTTTAATTTTCAAAAAGTCTAGCAGTTGACGGACGAGTTTAAGTCGTTTTAGTGGTGGTTTAACTAACAGCTGGTTGCTAACTGTCATTGAAATGTTTATGTTAAAAGTTGTTTGTATACAAAAATATTGATAGTCAGAGTTTGACTACACACTATTTCACTTTAAAATGTAGTTTCTTTCCTACCGTAAAAGATCTATGTTATCAGTAGATTGTGTACATTTTAACATTTTAAACGTATAATCAAGTTTTGTCATAAATACTGTATGATTCAGAAACTTGATAAAGGGGTACATTCCTAAAGTAGACCAAAAGTCTCGGATCTCGGATGGGCTGGGCAGGCTTTTCATGGTGGGGAGAAGATACTTCAACTTTTAAAAGTGTATTCCAAGAAGTACTACAAGGTAGACGACCACTTGGAAGACCAAGTAATGAAAGACATCCTCAGACTGGTATCTTCCTTACAAATGGCAGGGGATAGAAGAGAACGTGAGGCCAGGATCATTTGGAAGGTTTCAGTGGTCAATGTGGTAAAATAAGGTACGGTAAGTGTTAGTATGCAGTGGAAGGTGGTATGTAGCTAGGTACTGTACTCAAAGCCAGTGTGTGTGAATCGGCCACCAAGTTGTAAACTAGCTCATATTCATAATCATATTCAATTTTAATTGACTACTCGATTCCCGTACGTAGGACGGGCCAACAGCTCGTATTTCCTTTAATATATAAACAAAACAGTTCAGTATGTTTTTATATATATTCATGTTATCCAGCTACAATTTATTGATTTTCAAAATACACACACAATATTTCATTCAATCATATTTGCAGTATGAGCCGCGCCGACTTGAAATACGTGAGCTTGCCTAATACAAAAGTTTACTTTATTAAAATTATTTCATTCTTTTTAAAGTGTTTTGAAGTCGGTTGTATTTTTTACAAAAATAAATTATTTCATGATTTTTAGTGACTGTATATATTTATATATTAATTACTTGAGGTTTTTTGATAAGCAAAACTGTTTGAAACAATCAAAAGTTCCACAGAACAATCTTTTTTTTTTAACTGCTTGAGTCACATGTTCAGGTTACATAATCAATGGGTATGAAAATACACAGTTTTAGATATTCCTTAAGAAAGAAAGAGTTGTCCATTACATTAGGCCTAATGAAAAACTAATTGTCTTTTCTAGATACATTGAAATGTCAGACATCATCGTTTCCTGCAATCGGTGTACTTCTACATTATAAAAAGAAATACAGTAACGTCTCAAGCCTTTTGGAACAATATGAAAGTTATTCCTCAGCCACCAGCACTAAAAAATCTCTCAAAAGTGGAAAATTGGTCGTTAACATGTATAGTCCCTTTGGAAAATATTATATGAAAGATTGGTTCAGCTAAAAGTGGTGTAAGTCATGTAGGGGGTTTTGTTTGCTCAAGATATAGCCTAGTCGAAATTGCAAATCATCTTCCTCTAGGACTTTCCGAAGCAGGCATAATAGTATTGATATGTTATAGTAACTGGGTAGAGAATATTAATAAACATTCCACATCTGCAAATGAAATATGTATATGAAAGATTGGTTCAGCTAAACGTGGTGCAAGCCATGTAGGTGGTTTTGTTGGATCAAGATATAGCCTAGTAGAAATTGCAAATCATCTTCCTCTAGGACTTTCCGAAGCAGGCATAATAGTATTGATATGATATAGTAACTGGGTAGAGAATATCAATAAACATTCCACATCTGCAAATGCATGTTTAGTAATTAAAATATTTAACACTTTTAAGACAATTGACGATTATGCACTGTCACACTTCTTAGGTCGTGTAAGGAATAATTGCATTTAATTTATATTTAGACCTGTTTTACGAATGCTTTGGTTTTCACAATGCACCTTTATTTGTCAATATCATACAGCTATTCACTGAAACATATATGTTTTTGTAAGTCAGAATATTCAATACTAAAAACAGAATTACTGTATACACAAATCAGGTCAAACGTTAAATACATTTTTTTATAGTAACCAAAACAAAATGCATTTTTCTCAATGTAATTCATTTAGGCTCCATGGCAAGAAATAGTTTATTGATCAATATGAAGCAACTGTTTCATGAAGAATTGTCTGTAGCTTCATTTAAATGGTTTCAACTAACAGCTGTAGGAATGTTATTATTATTTATTGCCTTCTCTACACAAATGTAAACAATCTGCACAAATGTAAACAAAATAAATGTTGAATATTTAAGGTTTTCAGAATTTTTTACCAAAACAAATATTATATATTTGTTTTGGATATTAACAAGGATATTAACAAATATCCTCCTTTTGTTGGTAGTGGGGAAGTCGGTTAAAAAGGGAACATATCTTACAGTTGAAAAATTTAACAAATAAATGTAGATTTTAAATGCCCTTACCGATACACATAAAAACTATTTTAGACAAACAGCATACAATACATATTCCTCTTTAGCACGTTAAATTCATTTGCTTTATTATCATTAAGTTTTTGTATATACAGGGTGATTTGTACTCAGTGTGACAAAATTTTTTTGATGTACGTACAAAGTAAATGAAGTGTGATGATGCATATCAAATGTTCCAAGTCTCAAAATTAGCTCCCCAAAAAATTATTTTATGTTTTTCAAAAATAACCATGCTTTTAAACTTAATACAGCGATTTCTCAATTACCTGTATATTGATTTGAGTAGATAATGTCATTTTCGTGTTCTACATTAAATTTTGAACAAGAATAATGGAAAATGACGGAGGATCAGTTGTAAAAACTCCATTGTAAGTATATTCAAAGATAAAAATTAAGATATTTGATAAAATTTTTAAAAACAATGGTCTATTGCATTTTTCACACCCTGTATACAAGAAAGTGTCGGAATATGTTAAAAACTGCGCCATTTTATAAGCTTTCCAACCATATGCTACACTATTGAGGTTTAGATATTGTTTTGTTTGTTTTAGTGGTTTGAATACCAGAAAACAGGGAACTTTTTTACTGTTTTTACTGTTCAAGCTGAATCAAAAATACAACTTTTGCTTAATACATGCCGACTTTCTATGTTTTAAATGTTAAAGACACCATGCTTTGTAGTCTTCAAACCATTAAAGCGTCCATAAGCAGACATAAACCTCAATAGTGTAGCATATCGTTGGAAAGCTTATAAAATGGCGCAGTTTTTAACATATTCCGACACTTTCTTGTATACAGGGTGTGAAAAATGCAATAGACCATTGTTTTTAAAAATTTTATCAAACATCTTAAATTTTATCTTTGAACCTATTTACAATGGAGTTTTTACAATTGATCCTCCGTCATTTTCTATTATTCTTGTTCAAAATTTAATGTAGAACACGAAAATTACATTATCTACTCAAATCCATATACAGGTAATTGAGAAATCGCTGTATTAAGTTTAAAAACATGGTTATTTTTGGAAAACATAAAATAATTTTTTGGTAAGCTAATTTTGAGACTTGGAACAGTTGATATGCATCATCACACTTCATTTACTTTGTACTTACACCAAAAAAATTTTGTCACACTGAGTACAAATCACCCTGTATTTTATAACATTAGGTTTAACGAGTACCTAGGTTTGCTGCTACAAGGAAACTAATAAAGTGTGTTTTTGAGTAAAATATTGATAGCTTAGTACAAAATAAATAAATTTGCCAAGTTTGATCAAAATATATCCATAAACAAGCAAACTACAACATTTGACAATATTCTCCATAAGAATAACATGGGAATTTTAAATTTACAATTTTTTTAATTTTCTCCGTTACTAATAATCGAACAAAAATACTTTTATATACTAAATTATTTGTTTTTTTAAGCTCTTTAAAAAGGTCTAAAGAGAAATCGGGAAATTTTGTGTTTTGAGGGTCAAAAGTGAGAAAAACCAATTTTTACCCCATAAAACCCCCCGTAAAGCCCCGTTCCCATGGTCCGATCGTGCTGGTTCGCGAACTCATTCAAGTTTATCCTGCTTTACACCTTTAAACCAAATTTCATCAAAATCGGACAAAAA